CTGTCTGCTAGCTTTTCCTGGTCTCTCTTCTCCTACTTCACTTCTATGCAGGAAAAGAAGAGCCAGATAGCTGAAGATTAGGTTCTATCCCTGCTCTATGTAGCCATAACTCTGGAAAAAAAATCGGTTTTCTTCATTCTGCCTTTCAAAAGCAAAAACAAAATTATCTTCTGCAAGGAAATATGGTATAGTTTTTATCCTTTTTTTAAATCATAGGAGGACTATTCACTTGAAATCTGTTTTAATAAAAATCTGAACTGGAATAAGGATATTGAAAATGTGAGTAGTAAATCCAAACAAGCCTTGTGTGGAGTTTTCTACTTTTTTAGTAAAATGGGAAGAATGGCAGCCCTAAGGATCTGTATATTTAGGGTTGAGTGCATTTTATTGTATGGAGCTGAACTATGGAGTGCTGATCCCACGCTTTCCTCAAAAATAGAAAAAAAATGAATTACTGTACTTTTAAAGGCAGCTTTTCTCTCTGATCCTAATTTTATGATATGGGACTCATGTCCTCTGAAACAGGACTGATTAATGTCAGCACCTTATCTTAATTAAACATTCTAAATTATTGGATGAAAATTAAATCTTTAATGTCTACCAGATACCCTAAGAAGTGCATTCAAGCTTCTCCTTTTCCAAATCAGCTTTTTTTTGGGTGGTTAAATAACATCTGTAGTCTTCTCCAGACAAGTGGCCTGAGAAATATGCTGAGAATCACTGACCTAGTGTTTCCCCTGTATTTACAACAAGACATACATTTAAGAATTAAGTATGCCAGCATGCATAGGCAGTGAGACTTGCTTTAACGTGCTTTTTTTGAGATAAAGCACTCCTTTGGCCTAGAAACCTACCTATCTACAGCATAAACTATAGACAACAAGAGACTGTTACTAGATTGCAGTTCACTCGTGAGATGTGCAGTTGTCATGGGCAGGTGTTGGATCTCATATTTGTATAGAATATGTGCTTGTGGAAGGAGTAAGATGACTTAAATCAGTATTTGTGGTCTTTCATTTTTCTTTTTTGGAAGAAACGAGAAGAAAATTGATTTCTCTGTTAGTGAAAAATGTTAAATCCTGAGCTACTGAAGAAAAAACAATTTGGCTTCTCTCTAATAACGTAATCTGTCCTATATTACCTGGGTGTATATATGCATTACAAAGAATAAGGACCAAAATCAAATAGAACCCCCCCCCCTCATTTTACTGTGTTCCCACTGCTTCATCTGGACTGAGGGAGCCTGCAGAGTTTGATGAGATGTGTACACAGCATTCAGCCCACCCCCCTCCACCCCAGCTACAGAAACAGCACTGCAAGCTGTCTGCTCTTCAGAGGCTCAGCATTTGAATGTCTATTGTGGCATCTCCAGGCAAGTTTTTTCTAGGAGGAAAACAAACCCAGGAGAATTCTACCAGATCACTTGAATGTGTGTATGCAGCCAATGTTGTTGAAGACAGTAAAAATGTGAAACTTTTAAATCGTTAAGTTCTGAATAGCACTGAATATCTTAAAGTAATCCTGACATGATTTTTCTACGAGCACCACAAATATTGCTCTTTTGTTTGAGTTTCTGTTTCATTAGTGCCCTTTGTTAATTTGTCAACATATTAGACATAGTTTCATAGTTGAAAGCCTTAAACTTTATGGCTAGCCACAGTAAGTTTTCTTCCCAAAGTAGGGCATAGACACATCAGCTAATTTACATAGTTGATTTAGGATTTTCTGTTAAGGCTTTTAGTGGTTGGAGTCCTAATTTCTTGATGCCAGCATTAAGTTGAGTAGCAACAGGACCCTGCCTTTTACCGATGGCATCACTGAAACCTCATTCACAGTCTTTTGAGATTAAGGTATACTCTACTGAGCAGAAATGCATGTTCCCTTAAAAAGAAAACCTCATTCTATTTTGCCTATTTTATAGCTGACCCACTTAAACAAGAGCCAAAAATCTGAATATCGGCTGTGTGGGTTCCTCTTTGTGGGATGTGTATGCATGGGAATTTTTAAATAACAGTGTCCATCAGTGCAGTTTGTGAGAACCAAGCATTTTTATGAATCTCCCTTAGTGCTCTGGATTATTTGAGTCAAGTGCTGATTACCAAGAGGCAAATGAGACAGCTGTTAGTATAAGGAATAGTTTCAGATTAATTTGCCACAATAAACAGTTTTATTCGAGTAGTCAACTATAACTTTGTTTTAAACATATACAGACCTGGATTGGTTGTTGAGATGTCTTGGCATTAAGTAGTTCTGATTTTAACTTGTTTGAGAGCAGTTTAGAAGGGAGAGGCTTAAACATCATGTTACTACCAAATTGGGGGCTGTTGAGAACACAAAAATGATGGAGGCTAGAGATGAACATGAATCATAGACATTAATCAGACTGGAAAAAGAGAGGCAATATTTGTTTGGAGATGCCATGGTTATAGAAATGGCATCAGTTGCTGTTTCTGAACGAGGACCAAAAGGAGCTGTGAATGGTCAAGTAGGCAGAACCAACACAGCCCCCAAACAGACACTATAATAAAATCAGAGGCATCAGCTTATGTAATGAGGGTGATGATGCTCTTTTTATGATGAATGTAGATAATGCGTACATGCTAGAAAAAATTGAGATTACTAAGACCAGCTCATTTAGGAGAGCTGAATTTGAGAAATGAAATCCCCACTCCCTCCTTCCCTCCCTCCGCCCTGCCTGCTTTGCTGCCTTCCAGTTCCTGCTGGGGCACTGCGTGGCTTCCTTTCCCTGCTGGACTGTGTTCAGCCCTTCACTAAACTATAACTGGTAAGCTAATCAGTTATCACTGGGCTTATCAGTTAAACCTTTCCTATCCCTATTAGGGAGCCCTGTGGGGCTTCTGCACTGTTTGGCTAGGGACAGACAGTCAAAAAGCCTGAGGCTAAATCGATTCAGTCTTTGCAGGTTAGTCTAAACTGCACAGATTAAATTGAAGCAGAAGTGAACAAACATTTACTTTTGATTCAGAAAATGCAGCCACAGGCCTGCAGTGGCTCAGGCCAGAAGCAGAGGGGCGCTCATGGCTCTCTGACTGTGTGTTCACTTCTTCTTCCCCTGAGATCTCTAGGATTTGAAGTTCACAATCAGAGCAGCAGGACTCTGCAGGGTTGTTCATCACTTCCTCTTCCTGCTTCCAGGTACCTCTGAGATTTGTAGTCTACAGTTGCAGCCAACAGTAAGTTTGAGTGGGGGAAAGGGTGTTTAACCCCCTTCCCTGTACCCAGCCCCTAGCTAGGGTTTGCCGGGGGACAGGGAGCAGTCTCCATTTCCCCCTTGACTGGGCTGCATTGCCAGCTGGGCTTGCTCCCCACTTGTCAGCCAGCCCTCACTGCTCCAGTTAGGGAACAGAGAGACAGGCCAGCCCTGCTCTCTGGAGGAGACAGCACAGCCCAACCCAGGGCTGCAAAGCATACTGGGGGACTGTATTTAACTTGAACCATTAAGGGGCCTGGGATAGACGTTTCATAAACCGGTTTGACCCAAATCAGTTAAATCTGATACTACATTCAACCAGGTTTATCTTAAACCAGTTTCAGCCAGTTTGCAACTGGTTTATGTGCATTGAGCTTCTGTTCTGTTACTGGTTTAAACCAGTTTCGGATTACTTAAATTGTTTTATGTGTAACTTCTCTCCCTACCCTTTGAACACTGTGTGAAATTAATTGGCTCATATATAAATGGGACTTGAAATTGTAGGTGACTTGAAGTGAGGGCAGGATCAGTTCATATGTTTGTTACTCTTTGACTGGTGAGAGTTTTTGGCAAGTCTGGATTCACAGGACAATATATGAATGTTGTGGCAGCTATATCATTACATTGAAAAGCTTAACATTTGGTTATAAATGGGAAGCTTAGAATTTGCAGAAAATTGTAGGATTCACACCTTTGGGGAAGTCCATGCTGAAGTCATTTCTAAGAAACAAGGACAATTAAATCACACTGAGCTCCATTCTACTAGACTACATTGTTACTCATACCTTAGATAACTCCTTTAAAGTTACCTGGGGTATCTCTGACCTACACTAGCACTGTTTTGTGATCTCTCTCCTGCTGTAGTAATCTTGTTTCTGAGGAACTTTTTGTCACAGTAAGATTATAATGTTTTATCATGTCCTTTGGAAGCAATGCCCATTGTACATGGCTGACTGGATCAGAATAACATGCAGTTCTTATTGGTGCTAATAATGTTGAAAAGGTGACAGCTACTTTTGATGCACTCTTATGGCACATAATATAATAGTCACTTCTCAACTATGTATATCTAATTAGTCCATCCTTCTCCCAAATTTAGTCAAGGGATGCTTTGTCATGAAAGACAAGCTATATGCAAAGTTTGTTTGTTTTCATTTGTTTTATTTCATATTGAATTGTTTCTCCCCAGATGTTCACTATAACCAAAAATATGCTAACACCTTCAATTTTCATTTTTGATGATGTCGTAATGCAAAAATGGTGAATTGATTTTTTGTTTGTTTATTTTAACTCTAACTTCCCCAGAACCATTCCCTTCTGGCCTTAGTTCAAACATAAAGTTTCAGTCTTGGAAGAATCATAAGAGAATTATTTTAGAAAACATTATTGCATACATTTTTAAGAAACCCATGACACATGATATCTGGACATACCATGTATGACAACATTAGATGGGTTGTTGAGATTTCCTGGTAAAAGGGATGAGGTAACAGTAACTTTTTGCTGCTTATAACGTGGAAAGAATGGATCAGTTTGCAGTTGCCCTTGTATTGTGGCCACTGTGGCCAAGTTTTTTCATTAATTATTTAGAAGCAAATTCTTAAGGAGTAAACTGTATTGGAGAAGTTTATGAAGGTTTTATGTACTTGGAAACTGAATAAAATATTAAACTACTATTTTGAATGCTGTAATAAATCTCTCTCTTCTTTGTTTGGTAAGGGCAAGGAGGAGTGTAATGTAGGTGCCAAGGATTCAAATTCTGAGGTACAGAGTTGTTGTTAATTATAATTTACTGTTCCCATAACAGGCATCTGTAGTGGGAGGAAAGTAGCAGAATCCAGTGGCAGCCACCAGAACTTCAGAAAAGTAAGCTTTTCATTTTGTTAAATGTTGTTAGTTTTATAACAGTAAGGATACTGTCAGAATGAATGTCTCAATATACAATTTATTTCAATGCATCTGTTAAGTTTGTATGACCTTTTATCAATGTAAGGTAGCAAAACAGATTCAGCTTCAACCCTGCTTCATTTAGGGTCAAAATTAAAGTGCTTTAGCCCATATGTATTACTAAGCAGCATCAACTTTTATCCCACCTTTCTCTCTTAAAGCAACTGAAGTCCATATTTTAAATCGGGGGTTGCCAACCTGAGGCACACATGCCGTAAGTGGCATGGAAAGCCTGTGTATGTGGCACATGGCAGACCAAAGAAGGGACAGGCAGCCTAGTGGCTGATGGGGTAGAAAGCAGAAGCAGTGGTAGATTGGTCAGGGAGCATAGGGCTGGAAGCTAAAATCAAAGTAACACATGAGGTAGGAACTTAGGGCAGGGAGCAGAAGACAGAGCAGCCATTTGGGCAGAGGGATGGGATCGGATTGGTGTTTGGAGAGGGTGTGAGAATAATTAGTTACACCTGCCAAAAAGATTGACTCCCACTACCCTAAGCTATAACTAGACCAATACAGAACTGTACACTGTAACTGCAGTTAAAGTATTTTCTTTTCCTTGAGTCTGGTTTTTAAATTTGAGTCCTACAGAATTTATTCTCTCCAGTTTTTTTTCTTCTTTCTTGTACTTTCCCTTGCTTACCACTTTCTACTTTCCAAGATTGTGTGAGGTTTTGAAGTCTTGAACACTGCTGCCATCTGGCCACTTCCATGCTAGGTCAAATTAATTGCATCTGGCTCTCTGCTAAGAAAAAATATTTGAGATATAGAATCATAGAAAGTTAGGGTTGGTAGGGACTTCAGGAGGTCATGGAGTTAAAACCCCTGCTCAAAGCAGGAGCAACTCCAACTAGATCATCCCAGCCAAGGCTTTGTTTAGCTGTGTCTTAAAAACCTCCAAGGATGGAGCTACAACAGACTGTTGCTCCTTGTCCTGTCTTCTGCCACCACTGAGAACAATCTTTGTATCCTTCCTTCAGGTAGTTGAAGGTTGCTATTATATCCCGTCCCCCCCCACCATCTTTTCTGTAGACTAAATAAGCCCAGTTCCCTCAGCCTCTCCTGGTAAGTCATGTGCCTCAGCCCCCTCACCATTTTTGTTGCCCTCCACTGGAGTCTCTCCGATATATCCACATCCTTTCTGTAGTAGGGGACCCAAAACTGAACACAGTACTCCAGACGTGGCCTCACCAGTGCTGAAGAGAGGGGAATAATCACTTCCCTTGACCTGCTGACAACACTTCTATTGATGCATCCCAGTATGCCATTAGCCTTCTTTGCAACAAGAGCACACTGCTGGCGTATGTTCACTGTAACCCCCAGATCCTTTTCTGCAGAGCTGTTGCCCAGCCAGTCAGCCCCAGCCTATACTGGTACATGGGATTGTTCTGTCCTAAGTGCAGGACTTTGCATTGTCCTTGTTGAACCTCATGAGATTTCTTTTGGCCCAGTTCTCCAATTTGTCTAGGTTACTCTGAATCCTAGACCTACCCTCCAGTGTATCTACTACTCCCCCCAGCTTGGTGTCATCTGCAAACTTGCTGAGGGTGTGCTGTGTGCCATCTTCCAGGTCATTGATGAAGATATTGAACAAAACCAACCCCTGGAGCACTGCACTTGATACTGGTTGCCAACTAGACATCGAGCCATTGATTATTACCCTCTGAGCCTGATGCTTCAGCCAGTTTTCTGTCTCCTTTACAGTCCATTCATCCAGCCTGCACTTCCTTAGCTTGCCTGCGAGAATGTTGAGAGAGACCACGGGCAACCGGTGCCGCCTTAGTCAGGGGGGCCATATGCTCCCCCCGGTGACCAGTTCTGCTGACCACGGGGGGCGGGATCTCTCTGCAGCCGATCTTGCCGACTGGTAGGGGGGATGTCCCCCTGGTGATCCTGCAATGGCCAATCGCTGCAGCCGCTTCCGGGAGCAAGCGCTGGCTGATCAGTGCAGCACTGCCTCTAGCAGTTCTTCCTCCACAGTCCTGGAGGTCTCCTCCACTATCGGACTGATGAACTCCTCATGGCAGAGGATGCTTTGGAGCCTCACCACTTCCTCCTGTAGGTCTCTTGCCTGTTCCCTGAGAGAGACCTCCTGGAGGCACTGCTCACATTGCAGGCACTCCCCCACCTGGCCATCACTGGAAGGAACCTGCAAGCTGCAGTCCCCACAGCGCCAAACCTGGACCCAGGTGGAAGCCTCAATGGTGAGCAGTCCTTTCTGGACAGAAACTTCACAGGTGCAAGCAGTGGCAGCGGCTCTGGCATTGTGACATCCTCCAGCCATTTCCCTGAGTCTCTTGATCTGTCTCTTCTCTTACTGACCTTCTTCCAAGTGTACCTTCCCTAGCAAACTCTCCTGGAAGCTGGCCTGTTTACTGTTCCTTGGCCCACAATGGTACCCTTTTCCCTGCTTCCTCACACCAAGGTGAAAAGCTCTCCCCTCAAAGTGGTCGGGGGTGGGGGGAGCTGCTTGCCCTGTTTGCTGGTTCCTTGGATGTTCAGGAGGTCTTCTTTTATAACCTGCTGGGCCTGGACTAGATCCACCCCCCATTAGGGCTTCTGTTAGGCACAGGCAGCAATCACTCAGCTAGCAACACAGCCAGCTTCTCAGAGCATAGGCCCCAAACACACACAGCCTACCAAACAAATACTCAGCAAGCCAAAGGCACAGGCAGCTCTGGATCACTTAATTTCCCTGGGCAGTCTGGTGCCTTGTACCTGGCTTCGCTTCCCCTTCTGCCTCTTGCTACCAGCGGACTTGCCTGAAAACTGCTTGCCCTGTTTGCTGCCCCTGTTTGTGCTAGTTCCAATAGCATTTGGTTAAAAGGCATAATAAATTATCCCTTGCAAGGAAAAGGCTAAATTGCTTCAAGATATCTCTTCTGTACACACACAGCAGGAGTAGGAAGACAAGAACTATTTTGAATACTTGGGGGAAAAATTAAGAGGTAGAGCAATAGTCTTTGCTGATTTTGGGCTGTGATGTTATAGACTAGAATCTTAGTATTCTTTCCTGCTCAAACCCTTGGGCTATAAGTGATAGTCTAAAGAGCTGGGGAGGCAGGGCAAATAGTCTTCTCTATACCAGCATTTAAATAATCATTTAGGTATGTGTGATTCACCCACATGGGGAGAGTTAAGCATCCATTTTAAAAATATACAGTTTTGGAGAAAGCTTGTTAACCATCAACTATTGTAAAAGTATCCCACTAACAGACCATTACTTATATCTGTTTGCATTTCCACATAAGCAGAATAATTCTTTCAGAGCTTTCTGCAACACTATTTGTAGCTATAATATGTAGCCATATTTGTATATTTGAGTATTAAAACATGTTATCTGTCTGAACTTTTATTCTTGTAGAAACTGTGAGGCCACCCTTCACAAATCTTAATACTAGCTTTGGGGTTTAATTCATCCTTTTATTTGACTTACTTAGCCTCATACTAGTGCTCTTTAGGTATATAAATACCCTGCAAAAATGTCGTCAACATCTTATTGTAATATTCACAATTTAGGTTGATATATGTTGGTAAATAAATGCATTGCTTTTTTCTTAGCAACATGTCAATATATTCACATTACCCTTGTGCTTTGCTTCCTTCATTGGCTCACCATTGCATAGAGACTTCAGTTCCAGGTTTGCCTTGGTATTCTCTTACCCTTACTTACTTAAGAGAATGTCTTGCTCCAGATACTCCATCCCATGACAGATTCCCTTGGATGATGAAATAGTCAAACAGCAGAGAAAACTTTTGTGTGGGAGGTTTTTTGTGCTTTTTTAACAGGAGCCACGCCTAAATTATGGAACTGGCTTGCCCAGAAACAAGAAGTTAACATGGAACTAACAGATTCTGGAACTAATAACTTCCAGAACTAAATGCAAACATCATTTAACCAATTTAGTTAAAAAAGAGGATGCTGGATTTCCTGCACATCAGCTGCTCTGTGATAACAGTTTTAGCTGTCTTCCCTATCCTGTGCCAAATGGAAGTTAAACCACAATAAGTCAGCCTTGTTTTATTTAGGTGCCCTCTACACATGCAGGTTAAAGCATGATGGGATCTAATATGTGATCCCAAAATTGTGCATTCTGCCATGCTTGTGTGGCATGGAAAGAGGCATGACTGTGTGGATCACACATTAGATCCAGTTGCACCTTATTGCCGGTATAGGGGGAGCCCAATCAGGATTTGGGCTTCCCTTGCATTGGCAAGAAGCAGGCACCTACTACTTTGCTGACAGGGCTCTCAGCTGCAGGGGCTGCATGCAGTCTTGGGATCCAGAGAACCCACAGCTGATGAGTAAGATGCAGCTGGAACCAAGAGCCCCATTTGGGCCCCCGGGTTTTGCACACCCCCGAGCCTTGGTGATCACGGCAGCTGCAATCCCTAGATCAGGGGTTGCGCCCATGTGGTTGAGTGCCCTGTCAGCTGATGTGACTCCCAGCCACAGGACAGACCCTGCTACACATGCAAATTAAAGTTCAATAGCAACTAGCTTACATGTTTTTGAGATCTAGTTTCATAGCTGCTTGGAACTTTTTACTGTGTGATAGCTACTTTGCATGTGTAGCTGGTCTCAAGGTAATTGTGCAATACCTGTAACATGTCGAGGGGGCCTTAATGATAATCAGTATGTATTTTATAAGGCTATCAAATAACTTAGCTTTGTTTGTTTTGTTTTGTTTTGTTTTAGCACTGTGTATGTTCATAGCACAGTTTGAACCAATTTTAGTTGTAGTTAAGATTTCCTAGCACAGTAAATGGGGAAGGTGTTAAGAGCACGGGGTGTATCTACATGTGTATTTATGCGCACCTAATCTTAATGCACCTTTGCTTAAGGCACATTAAGGTGATTTAGGGGCTCATCTACACATGGACGTAGTATTGCACGTTAAATTTAGGTGCAAATAACCAAG